ATAAAGCCTAATATTCTATTCCATAGATTCCGCGTCTCACACACGTCGCGCGCCAGGAAAACACAACGAAATATGCAGAATTCATAACGTTTCGGCCATAAAAACTTCAACTCTGACAGCGTTTTTGTTGGCGCGCAATTTACATAAAACTTCGACGAAGATTTACGCCGTAATCATAACTTTGTTTTATTTTTGACTTCTTTACATATCCTTAAAGTGCTTTTTAAATTTTTATGTTTCCCACATGAATACGGTAAAAATAACACTTAACATAAAGCTAATTAAAGAAATTGCGATCCATTTGCAATGGGTTAGAGCATGTGACACATAAACAACACAACGAAAACTTGTGTTTTCGTGGTTTTTCTTACATCTGCTGGCGCCTCCACCAACCACCATCCGCCATCGTACTAAATAATACTTTAAATCGACTGTGCGCGTACAATGTCGGACGCACTTACCGTAATGAAACGAGTGCCACCGCAGGGTATAAATTTAAGCAATGTTTATTTTCTTAGCCGAATAATAATAGATTTTTCTCGGCTTGGAAATACAGACGTTGAAAACAACAAACATAGATATCGGTTTTAAGTTGTCAACTTCATTGTTTAAATATTTAATTAGAGTTGATATTGAATTTGGTACAATAAAATATTATTTGCACTTGAGCAATTGATATCGGACGTATTTCTAGTCATAGTAATTATTTGTTTCCGGTAAAAATCGATCTGCAGCGCTAGTTACACATTGGAAAACTTTCTCGAGCGCGTTTCAATTAAGTTCAATATTAAATAAGTTTATTTATTTGGATGAAGGTAAACGTAGACGATGCAGAAAGTGGAGAAGTGGAAAAGTGCATCGACAGTCAGCACACGAATCGATTTTGGAGTTGAGTCGTGTAATTGAAGTCCAAGTTACTTGCTTTTACAAAAACTGTCAAATAAAACAAACCGGAAATTGTAAAATAAAACTAAAAATGTTTATTTTTATTGAATACTAGATTTTGCCGACGACGCCGTCCCGGTAGTGTTTATTAAAAATATAGTTTGTTTTTATCCTCTTGTTCTAGACATTGCTAATAATTGCTAATAATGCACTTCAGCCGTCATCTCGGATTTAATTATTTAACTATAACTATGATTGCATCTCAATGCCAACATTTATCCTATAGAAAAGGGCTGTTTTTATGGTTTTTCCGGCAATTATTCCAATTTTTCTTGCCGTAAAAACCATCTTTGGTCTTTAACAAACATTTTAAAAAAAGAATTGGCCAATTTGATCAAAGCGTCGTTGAGTTATGCGCTATCCAACAAATTTTGCAATTCATTTATATATTATAAATTTACAAAACTTTTAATTTATACTAAACATAATAAATTTATTGATATTACTCTTATTTGTGCTACATTCACTTAAATTTAAACAAAACTAACATTTATCGTTATCTTTATTGTCTTTTCCTTCCCACGTGCTTCGTCCTGTCACAACCAACCCTTAGCCCTTTAGTATATGTTCAAGAGTTGATGTGACACTCTAAAATAATAACCTTATGCGCAATGATTAAAAATACGCCCGAGATAATACATTTTAATGTAGCGGGGGTTAATTTTCCGCGCGATGGTATTATCCGCACGCCAAACGTTGAACATTGACGACAGACGCGCTTTACGAGTCAATTACTCAACTTATCTCACAATTCGGCGCGCTTGCTGGCTTATCAGACGATTCTTAATTTTTAGGCGCACACCCCCATCACCGCCTACGCCGTCCTTCAGCGCTTTCCTGCTTTGCCAGTCCTTCAGCATTCATTGCGAATGCTAATTGCGTAACTTCCATTGTTGCAAACTTTTCTCTCGCCTTTGTCCTCCGCGCTGACGATACAGATTAATTTAAGCGGACAATGAATGGAAATTCCACAGTGAAAATCGAAAAATGCACAAAACAGAGTCAAAAAAAGTCAACCGCAAAGCGTTCATTTACATAACTGCCAATCGCGTAAAAATTCTTTTCTGGTAGAAAAATTTGGAAGTAAATTGAAAATCAGGGAAGGGTTATTTTACGTCGTGCTTTAATTAAAATAAATCCATTAGGAATTCAAAAAAAGTTGAAAGCAAAAAAAAACTCAGTTTACATTTGGGAAATCAACTTTTTTCTTTGTCATCATTACATTGAATTCGACGTTTGTCCATCGTGTATCCCTAGTGACTGGGTCTTTGTTAATTTTTTTTTGACTGCAGCGTGTTTGTCTTGCAGTCCGTTTCATTACCCACAACAATGGCCAAAGTTAACAGAAATTTCCTTTTCTCTTAATCAAACACTGCAGAATTTTATGATTTGCACGATGGTTATTAAAGCCGAGATCCCTGCTGGGAGAAAAAACTCGATTATTTCCTCGCCGTTGACCCGTCGGCAATATTTTCGTGGGACGTAATGTGTCACCGCGCGGCGTCGGTCACTCCTGGAATGTTCAGATAAATGTAATAAAAGAGATCATTCCGACGGCCGCTGTGGTTGGGGCATTGAATGTTTCGATTTCATTCACACACGAGAGACATCTGCGAGGCAAAAATGCAGATTACGTCGGTGGCAAGTGAATAACATTTCTGACAATCCAATATGTTTGCTGTGCGCTATGAAGGAAACACTACGAACATGACAGAAAAAAAATACGCCGAATAGAATGGAAGAAGAGGAGGAGCTCTTTCAATTTCCGGTTGCTGGCATTTAATACTGGGCGAATTATAATAAATCACAGCCAAGCAAACAATTTATTGCTGAAGTTTAGTGGCAACTTGAAGAATTTTTGATTTTCTCACTGCGTTTCTGTATTTTTAGATTTGCGGTAAGTTTTGAATAAAATGAAACACTTTGATGAAGATATAAATCAAATACTCGATGATATTTTATGTTATCATCTTTGCTTCACTTCTTATGACAGTCAATTTCAGACTTGTTCTTTATAATTCAAGATTTTAAATATATTACATGTCAGGATATTTCCTTTCTATCAAATATTTCCATTAAAATTCAATTTTAATAAAAATAATTTGTTTGAAAAAAAAATTTTTTGTTGTGTTTTTGAAACATTCGGTATAGAGGTCAAAATCAGCGGGACGCTGACAAACGACCCGAACTAATTTGCGACGTATTCGAGTTTTCGGCCTTTCCGCGTCTGGCGACGGCTTTTTTTCTATTACACGCGCTATTTGCTCGCCGGTACTACCTGCCGGGTCGAGTGTAAAACATCACATTCGCAAGCAGTCCTCCGCAGTTTCCTCTCGACGCTGGAAACTTTTAACGCGTTCCTCCTCTTCTCAGCCCTTGGAGCCCCGGAATGGAGCGGCATGCATGGACTATAAAACTTTTTGTTTGGAACGCCGCGCGTCGTTTAGTAAATCATGCGCGACCGAAACAAACGCTGCGGCGCGTCGCTAACAAGGCCGGGCAAAAACAAACGGCGAGGAAGAACCAAGAAACCAGGAGAGCGAACAAGCACAATGGCGCGATTTCAGGTGGTGAGTCAAGCATGCTGCATTTTATAATACATTGTGACGAATGTAACTAAGCGGACAAGATGAGTGCACACGAGGTGAATACAATTGATGGGAATGACATACTTGGAGAGGTAGAAATTTGTCTTACGTGTTATTTTTATTAGTAATAATAGAAGGAATAAAAAAAGGAACTGAGATTGCTTACATTTACATTTTTCCTAGAAAAACGCTGGGTTTTGTAAAAATAAAATTTTACAAAAGATGTGTTGCTTTACGCTCAAAATAAATATGTAGCTGCAAATATAAAAATTCAAAATGATTGAAAACAAACATATCAACCTATAAATTACAAATTTGAATGGTTAGGTCTTCTCTCTATCAGCAAAAATTTATATAACTCGATTTATAGAAGAATTTTACAAATTTCATAATAAAAATTTAATTAAAAGCGAAGAAATTGTGAATTTTTCCTGGGCATATAAAAAAAACTCTGTAAAATCAAGTTTTTAATGAATTTTGTGGTTCAACATTGTCGTGCTTTAAAATACCAATCAAAAATGACATTAAATTTAAATTTTCAGAACTTTAATAGTATAGTTTCAACTATATACCTTGCCTAAATTATAAAAAAGCGTATAAACACTCAAACCAGACAAAAAATTGAAAATAAAAAAATAAAAAAATAATATTTATTGAAGTATATTTTGACCGCGACTTCGTCCCGGTAGTGCTTTTTAAAAATGTAATTCGTTTTTACTCTCTTATTCTAGACTTAGTATGTGTCAATTCTATCAATAAGATTTGCAATTTTATTTTAAAGAAATTAATTATATAAAGCATTGCTAATAACGCACTTTAGCGCGCCATCTCGGATTCAACTATTTAACTATAACCATGATTGAATCTCAATGCCATCTTTTATCCTATAGAAAAAGGCTGTCTTTAGGGTTTTCCCGGAAATTATTCAAATTTTTCTTACCGTAAAAACCATCCTTGGACTTTAACGAACATTTAAAAAAAAGAATAGGCCAAATTGGTTAAGGCGTTGTTGAGTTATGCGCTTACCAACACATTTTTCTGCATTTTGATTAACCAATGTAACTCACAATGAACCGTAAAACAAAAGTATTTCTTGCTTTGTCTGTAGCATAGCAAAACAATCAATCCAAGACTTAAAAAAGTGTTAAAGTATTGTCACCAAACCTCCCAACGCTCCCGACTGTACATTGAATTGACACGAATCCGGTAATATATTAGTTGTGCGAAATGAGTTTGGTGCCTGCGTGCCGTCGCAAACGATGCGAACGTTACGGAGCGCATCGGCAAAGATTCAATCGTATACACTTAAATTGCTCCCCGGCGATGAATCATTCTTCCGTAGCTAGCAATCCAACCCTTAGGCTCTGGCCAACGGCAAATTTATTGCACTTTTTTAAACTTTCGCCGGCGACGCATGCATTCGCATTCGTTTATTCAACTCCCTGCGAGAAAAAAAATATCTCCCACTTTGATTTATATACATTTATTGTTGATAATCTTACTTTCGAAACACAAAAACTTTCTGATCATAATTATATGTAAACAACTCGACTAGAAAAACCATTATACAAATTGAATAACAAACCACAAGCAGAATTAAAAGTCCTTGAACCGCTGTGAATGTTATACTCTGCTGTTGAACATCTTTGACATCTCGTAAAATTCCTATATTAAAATCTTTTGTATTTTTGAATGTTCTATGCAACATCCGAGTCCAAAACTCAATCAAACCGGCTTCCACCATGGAAAACAACTTGTTATTGATAATCATCTTGAAGGATGAACGTTTGTTCAAAGGATAAACATAATTATACAGACCAGCACATTCTCTTAGTAAAGCTTTACCAAGTTTACCTTCGGATAACTCTTGGTTTAAGCTGTGATCTATGTAAACATCAACGTATTTCTGATACAAAACATTCACGTTTTGAATTATTCTCTGTACAGGTAGATTAGTTCCTGTTGGAACTGAAGTCTCTGCTATTTTTTTCAATGCCACATCTGGACTTTCTTCAAATATCTCATTAGAACCACTGCTGTCGTGCTCCCAAATGAGGTTATGTTCTATAACATTTTTAAAAGTGCGTATTCCTTCGTTTTTCTTTGGAACCGTAAGGTTTGAAGATATTCCTGTTGAATATACGTTGGTTATTAGCAAAGCAGTGAGTAACCATGAAGCATGGACGATTCTAATCCCAAGTTTTGTTGGTGTAGGTCTATTTGTATTCATTAATAAATCTCCATATTTTAAAAATACCAACATGGAGATACTACGATGTTTATCCTGCTGTATTAATACTATTTTTCGATAAATAATATCAAAAACATATACAATTATAGCTGTTATAACTGCCTCCAGGATAGCAATCACAACAAAACTGTAAGGCATAGCGGATAATAAAAAGAACGCACTCATTGGTTCAGATTTTTTTGGAACCATGAATGTTACACATGTTTCTGTATACGGAATCGAAGAATCTGATACATTAAAAGACACACGAATATGCCAAGCAGCACAGAGGTACGTGTGAAGTTTATTTGTGATAATATCCTGTACAACTTGAGAAAACGCCATGTCTGGGTATAGTTTATAGGCAACACGCCATCCACGCGTCACCTCTGTCACTATAAACTTATCTAAACCAGCGTAATCCTTATTTTTCTTGTCTATGAACACATAGGGAGGATAATGAAAATATCCCGCTATAAAAACATTACTTTCGTTCGTAAAATTCGGCTTCCAATACCTCCAACTTTCTTCTTTAAATCTTGGCACAATATTCACATCCGTATCAGATTCACTTTGCGTACAAATGGATGAATTCAGTTTATCAGTCCTTCCTCGATAGAAACTGACAATATCTGGTGTAGAATTACCAGGAAATCCCGCGTACAATTGAATAAAATGTGCATGCAGTTCCGAAAAGCACAATAAAGTATCCTTCAGCGTTTCGTATGCTTTCGTTGAGTTTTTATCGACGAAAAGAATTAGAAATATACTAGTGAACGGCTCAAACCTTTCCGAGAAAATCACACCGCGTTGACATGGAAATAAACGTAATACACCAGCAGGATCATTTGATTCCAAGACGTAGTGAGTTGTCCAGCAACTCAGATTTGAATAACTGTTTTCTTCGAAAAGTCTCTGCGATATAATGATGTGATGCACATTGTGGACGAGGAAACGATCTTGAACCAACAACTTGTCGTCGATAATAAACCTCGTACATTTTGAATCCGCCAGCGCATGTTTTAACAACAATCGAATGCAATTCGACTCAATGTGTGAGCTGATTATAAAATAGAACAGAAGTGATTTAGACATTGTCGCTTATAAGCTTGTAAGCTCACTAACCAAAGCTTATATAATGCAGAACGAGACAAAAATGAAATAAAATAGTTATATATCAACATATTAATTGCATTGATGGACGTTGAATGGCTTTTTTTTGAGTAAATATAACAATCAAACGATATATTACTAACGATACTTTGTTAGAACTTTTTTTTGGCTGAAACTGTAACTACTTCATTTTTCCCTTGTTTGCTCAACACTATAATATATTTTTTTGGTAGTAATAAAAAAGTATAATAATAAATCCTGGACAATTATTACTATTACGCTTTATTGCGTTTTCATGTCATTTGTAACGCAGTGCGTGTGAATTACTCGTCGAAATACACGTCAACGATTTTGAATGTGTTATCCTCGTACACTTCGTTTGCACTGCTTGCACCTTTGCGTTGGTTACAAAGCATATTAACAACTTGCTTGCTAATGGGAATACGCCGAAATGGTTGGAGTATGTTGTCCAATGCTCCGCCGATCACCGGCAGAGCACACAATCCTCTTCCTCTATGCTCGGCTTGGTTATTTTTATTATTACTTCTCCGACGAGTTTGAGCCTCATTTTGGATTCCAGGTTTGGTAGGCGACGCAGTTATCTAAAACAAACCGGATTATAAGAACAAGATGGAAATGTTGAAATAATATTTGAATATAATATTTACGTCAATTATTAAAGAGCATAAGAGCAGCGACGCCAAAAATATGGCTTTGTTTTTGGCCATTGTGTTTGTGTTTGTTTAGGGCGACATGGAAACATTATTATACGCCTGGCCAGCGTCGTAATAAGTGCCAGGCAACAGTGGAAGGCAACGAGTTTGGTAACACGATATAATTATTGAAGAATGCAGAAATACGTGTGGGCGATAAGCTATCGCTGAATTTTTTTATTTTTTTAAAATTACAGGGTTTTGTGTATATTTAATAATTAACTATAGAATTACGAGTAAATGACTTAATAATAATCGTAAAATTAAATATTTTTGATCATTACTAGTAATGCAATTCCCAGCAATGCAATTTCCCAGGTATGTATTTCCAAAATTTCGCAAATATTTGCACTTATGCAACATGTGCAAGCGCAATATGTTGCTGGGTTGTTGAAAACAACAAGCAATAATGCAGATTGTCGTTTTGGGCACTTGCATCGTTACTCAAATGTTAATACAGGGTAAACATGAACTAAATAAATAATTTTGCAGAGCAAACACTGATATAATTTGTAATATGAAGACATATTTATTAATTACAATTGTTGTTAATTATTGCTGTGAATTAATAAAGTCCAGGAAATTATTCAATATATCTTCATCAGTTTGGGGAGTTCCAGTGACGTGGTTATTATAATCGGTTTCATCGGGTTTAGTGGTACTTTCAGCAGGTTTTTCTGTAGTTTCCTGGTTACCATCTTCAGGTTTCTCCGAATTATTTGAGTCTCCTTGATCTGGATCTGTTGAACCATTTCCTGCTTTAGTAGTGTCTTCATTTGAGTTTTTATTATCTTCTGTTGTCACTTTTTCTTCATCAGTTTTTGCAACAGTTGTAGTTTCTTCATCTTGATCTGTTGAACCATTTCCTGCATCAGTTGTATCTTCATTTTTGTTTTCATTTTCTTCAGTTGTCACTTCTTCGGTATCAGATCCTGCCACAGTTGTAGTTTCATCGTCTTGATCTGTTAAACCATTTCCTGCTTCAGTTGTGTCTTCATTTGAGTTTTTATTAGCTTCTGTTGTCACTTCATTTTCATCAGTTTTTGAAACAGTTGTAGTTTCTTCATCTTGATCATTTGACCCATTTCCTGCTTCCGTGGTATCTTCATTTGAGTTTTTATTATCTTCTGTTGTTACTTCATCGGTATCAGTTTCTGCAACGGTAGTGGTTTCATCGTCTTGATCATTTGAACCATTTCCTGCTTCCGTTGTACCTTCATTTCCATTTTTATTATCTTCTGTTGTAACTTCTTCTTCATCAGTTCCTGCAACAGTTGTTGCTTCTTCACCTCCAGATTCACTACTATTTTCGACACTGTCATGTTCATTTGACACTTCTTCAGAAGACTTTTCTTCACTTGACGAATACAACGTACTATCACAAACAAAATGTCTCTCAAGGAAATTCGTCAAAAAACGAATTTTGACCCGTCTTGTGAATCTATAAACCAAATTACTCAAACCCCTTGTAAGGAAGAAATCCAAACAAGCTTTTTCTTCTCGTTGAGATGCAATTTCATTGTGAATGCTTTCTGCAGGTTTGCCAATTACCTATTGCAATAAAACAAAATAATTGTTAGTTCAACTAGTAAAATGATAGATTTTAATCGTGTTATAATTTTATACTTACGTCATGAATACAACAAAGCGCCAAAAGTAGAACAAAAGCAATTTTGAAAGCCATTTTGTATGCTGCTGTCAAACTTTCTGAATGAAAAGTTGAACTTACTGTGTAGTTTATATCCTATAATGAGTCAAAACACTTTAAATATGTGCTTCATGTTTTCCCGTTCTGCATTTTTCTACTTTTAATTTGGCTTAATACTAGAGCAATTATTTTTTGTAGAAATGTTGGCGAGGTTTAAGTACGGAGTTTCAAACTAAAGCACATTCATGGAATATTATTTAATTAAATTTTTGAAAAAGTTTTTCCGAATGATAAAAAAACTTATTATAATGACATAATCAGAAGTAACTTGCTTTCAAGATAAGTAAACCGAGGAAATAGGGAATAGAAAGAAATTTAAATATTTATTGACTTAAAACAAAATTTGGTAATTGAATACTTTAAAAATTATTAAAATTATATATTTTTAATTGTTTGTGAGTATACGTATTACATTTCTTTTTCATTTTTAATTAATTTTGAAACTGAAATCAGTTTCAGACTATGCCCAAGGCGATACATGTTAAACCAAATAAATTATAATATCATACAAAAATAACTTATTATTTAAATTAATGAACAAATATACAAGTTTAAAGAAATTGTTTTTTAAGGCGCGGCAATTTTTATGCATCTTTATACATTTCTATGCAATGACTTTTTGACAATTTCTGCTTCTGATCGATTAGTAAATTAAATATTTTATATTACTTTATTTTTACATGATTATGAATTTTAATTTTTCTTTTGATTTTACATGATTTAACTTAAGGGTATTGTCAGAAACAGTTTCTGAAAATTCTAATTCATAATCACGTAAAAATTTTAAAAAATGAAGAGAAATTTGAATTAAGAATATTGTTCAGTAAATATATTAAATCAACCAGAAATATAAGATAACAATTCTTGAATATTCATATTTCCCCTTTTTTGCAAAACAATAATTTTAATTTTTGCATTAAATATTTATAAATAATGCATGCAATTGTATAACATGCGTGAGATCTAGGTACAATAATCAAATTTAGATATTCATTCAATTTTTTTTATTTATCTGCAGTACACATTAACAATGCAACATCTATATTATATTCCCAGTGGTATTATTCGTCACCACCTTCATTCGCATCAGCTTCTTCGCAGATGAGGAGGCTTTCGATGAGTCCTCCAAATTGAGATTTCAAGCCAAGTCTACCCAGGATATTCAAAATCATTTTACCAATAGGATTGGTAATACCTGCCAAATAACTTCCCACCATCGGCATGCATCTTTCTTGCTTACTCTTCTGTAGTGCTGGTGAGGGAGCAGCCAAAATCTACAAACAGCATTGTATTGATTAATATATAAATATTATTAATGTATATTATTAGTATTAAATTACTTACCACACCAACCACACAGACAATCAAAACAGTGCAAAATACTGTTTGGAGTTCATTTTGAGGGCTTTGATGTTACACGTTTGGTACAACTCAAGTGATGTTAGGTTTGAAATTTACCGTTTTTATATAATTCGTGTTGGTATCAATTTACGCATTTTTCGAATCTTTCTCAAAATAATTTTGTATAATTATTGGGAAATATTCGCAAAAATTGGGAAATTAAATAAGTTGGAAAGAATTTTGTTACAGCAACGTCACTGGTTTGATAACGAAATATCCAATAATTATTATAATTATTAAAAGGAATTGTTGCACTATAATTTTTAACATAATGTAGTTTGAATGTTGGCAAACTGCTAAACAAAAAGTTAAAACTTTAGTTTAATTCAATTTATTAAAATCATGTAAACAGTGAAGTATTTTAGATACATATCATTTATCAAGCGTTGCAAACAAATGTTTTTCTTAAGAACTCAGACAAAAATGATGGCATCGGCACTAAATCGGTAAGAATGCGGAAAATAAAACTGTAATAACGTCCAATTATTGGAATAGGTAAGCATGCTTTTTCTTCTTTGTTTATCTTATCCAAATCGGAGTTTGACTCGTCTTTAATTGGACTTGCATATACCTAAAAAGATTTTAAATATGCAATGCAGGAAAAAATAAATTTACTGTAATTTATAATGATTTTAATTGAGCAATCAATTAAAAGAATTTTCTACTTCCACGTTTTTCTACGATTTTTAGACAGAAAAAGTGGTACTTTAAATACGGACGGCCAATCCGTGAGTAAAGTACTTTAAGTACGGACATTATCTGCGGGGCGGAGCTTGCACCTCCGCATTTGTCTACAGAACAGCACAAAACCATATGAAATGCCATTCGCTACCAATCAAACAAGTCAAAGCAAGCGCTGCTGCTGTAGGCGCCCAGTGCCCAGTGCGAGCGATTTTCGAAGATTTAAAACACAAAAAATTCTAATTCAAAAACCTAATCGTGGATATAGAGTGGAAGTAGAAAAAATAGCGTAAGCACCACGTGGCTAAAAGTGGTTAAACACTCGCTTGCTTAAAAGCTCGCTCTCAATCAATCTTGTGAATAAACTCCTTGTTTAGTCACTTGATACTTGATATACCAATAAATACTTACAATACTCAAATAAACCACTACCAGTACACAGACAATAATTTTACTTTGAAACATGATTGATTGCTATGTCATCTGTTTCAATGTTAAAGTTTTTCTGATATAAAACCCTCACGCCTACGGAGTACTTATATTGCAAAAGAAGAGGAATTTTGTTATGATTTATGATGCTTGTTATTTATTTATATATTAATCTAACGAGTTCTTTTTGAAAATGTTTTAAAGGCGTCAAAAACAATTAGGACTTCGACGCGCAATTGTTTTATCCGTACATAAATTGTGTTTTTCTTTGTTTCGGTAAATAATCATTAAGAAATACTTGGAAAGTCTGAGTGAAACGTAAAGTGTGAAATGTAAATTTCTTTTGATATAAACATTTTAATTTCTAACAGAATATAAAATATATATTTACATAATAAATACAATACATAGTTATTTACAAAAATTGTTTACAGCATGTAGAATAGAAAAATTGATCAATTCAAATTTCATGCCATCTGAAGCATTTCTGAAAATTAATTATTTATGATAATAATTATATTATTTATTATGAAAGAAAACACAAACTTACAGTTTCCATAAAGTATACAATCAAAGCAAGAACATCAATGTTAATATTCTTCATTGTACTTAAACAAAACATGACTTCTTGTTTTGTTTTATAAACTTTGCTTTAAGTTCTGTACGTATTACCTTCCTTGTGGTTCTTTTGATACTTAATAAATCCCTAGCAAATGTGTTGCTATATATACTTTCAATGGGTTTGTTATTGCAGATGTTTTGACATTTTATTTTTGGCTTTATTAATTTTTATCAAGTACTCGTGCAGACAAAAAAACAGTGGTTTGTTTTGAGGCGCATTTGTTGTTACACGTGCAAAATTTATTAGACGGTCCAACAAGTAACAAAATGAAGTTTTTACCTATATACTAAAACAATAACAAAGTGTAGAGTTGAATGTCTATGTCAATCAAACATTCAAATACATTCCATACCACGCAGTTGTGAGCAGTATGTTTATTAATAATTTTTTTGCAGTGCGTACATAATGCAGTCTCTTTATAACGACGCACAAGTTACATTGAGAAACAATAAAATATTGGGATTTTATCATCTGTTTATCCTTTTGTAAGCAAGTTATGAGTTCAATTACTCTTGAAATGAAGCCGGTAAATATTTCTAGAAAAGGAATTCAAATTTTATGCTGTAATCACTTGGGTTTAGTTTAAATGATTTTGTATTATTTTCTTTGCTGAATACGTGTACTCGTAATGATTTTGAAGTAACTTTATATCATAAAAGTTGATCATAATTACAAAACTTTTTCAAATAATACCATCCATGTCACGTGGTCAAAAGCAATATTGAAGATCATAATTTTTGAAAGGAAATTATATTTTGACGTTACACAGGGGAGCCGCAACGCTATAAGAAGAAAATTCATATAAACTAACCAAGTCGTTAAATGGCAAAACGAGACTACACTGTGTTTATTAAGGCACAAATAGCAGCATATATAGAGTATCGATAAGACAGATAAATCCTTTTTTATGATTGATCTACTATTACTTACTATTATTTCTTGCAAACAACCTACCACAAAATGAGTCCCAGATATTCTTGATATTATCAAACAAAGCATTCAACTGAAGCTACGAGAATATAATCTTAAAATTTTTTAAATATAATATTTTTTATTGTTTAATCATTTTTATAAATTCATACAAATACGACATTAATATTGAACCATAGTAAAAAAATATAAGTAAAGTATAGATATAGGTAAGTATAGGTAAATTAGTTATAACTAATGAATATCACGATTATGAAAGCACAAAACATTTATCAAAATCCACATCCTGAAGACATTTTAGACAATGGTTCAATGGATTATCCAAATCTACGCCACCTAAGGCATGCCTAAAAATAAAAAAATAAAACATGCGTTATTTATCTTTCCCTTATTATAAATAATTATTCCAACTTACTGATTCCATAAAATTGATAATAAACCCAAGAACATCATTTTTACGAATATTCATTTTATATTCTTCTCAAATAGCTTGATTTTCAAATAGTTTGACTTATTTTTGGCTTGTTGCAAGTGTAGGTTTATATTTGCACTGATAACGTTCAGCAAACCTCTTCGCTTTATATACCTACTACTTGACTCATAACTTAAGTACTTATTTTGCTCGTGTTTGTCTATTTGGATGTTTTTACGTTTTATCTGCAGCTACTTGTGTAAACAGAAAAATAGAAACGTGTTTATGTCAGTTTAATTCAAGTATGAAACATTCATTATGCAAAAAAGCGGTATTGTTTTCGAATTCTTCAAAAAAATCATAATATTATTGTTTTGTCTTTACATTATGTTTGTCATTATCACTTCTTCACTGTTTATAACAAGAACTTTGTATCGAGACGAATAAAAAAATTTAAATTTTTACTTATGTGGTATATTTCCGTTCGAAACTTATGTACACTTGATAATAAAACTCGTACAAAAAGTATCAAGATATGCGCATCCTGAAACTTTCCGAATGATATTTTAATACGCCTGTTATAATATGAGTAGTACTATTTTTTAAGTAATTAATTTGAAAAGAATAGTTACGTTGTTTTTTGTTGGTGTATGAATAAAATTAAATGCATCAATAAAAGAAACATTGAATTGTTGAGCCACTTACATCATGAAACTCCATAATTATCGTCAAATGAAAGAATAAACCTTATGGAATTCACAGTACTTATTACACACTGCAATATGTTTCACCACACTGTGCCATCATCAAGCAGATGAATTCTAAATACCCTCCTTAAGGTTTACCCTTTCATTTGAAAATAAAACATATGGTGGTTTAACGTATAATTTAAGGTTAAATAAAATTTAAAAAATCTTTGATAGATATAAATGAAAGAAAACGCTTTAACCTTACAGTTATCATTATTAAACGATACCATATTAATAAAACCATTGCAAGTCAATGGAAGTGTTTGTCAAACCTGATGTCGATAGCTATTTCGACCATTAGAGCTCTTATCGGCACACCTTTATTAATATGCTTTGGTTGAACAACGATAATTTGAAAGCGTTAAATTGATTTCTTTGATTTATGTGTATAAATATACACCCTCTCGTAAAACTATTATTAATTGAAGAAATCTTAATTTTTATAGCTGTTGGTTTGTTTAATTTAGTATGTGGGAGTATTAGGTATAAAAACAACAATTTGGTAATTGCACTTTATCATGTGAACATGGCATTATATCACAAATGTAACGTCATTAGTTAATCACACACCAGTAAGTCATTGAGGAGATTATGCACAGTTGGACCTAAATCAATGTTATTATTGACTGCTTTGACGATGCCACTTACAAATGGTATATAAATTGCACAACGTGTTGATGGTCTTGCCATAGCCTAAAATTAAAAAAAATTTATTAAAATTAACTATAATTTTATCTATAACATGAAAATGTTTGAAACTCTTGCAAATCAATGCAAGTGTTTGTAAAATCTGATGTTGATAGCAATCATTTAACAACTATCTATTGTAACGGCTATAAACGTTTTAATTAAATTTATGTATATATTTTGTACTTACGGTTGCCAACACGCATACCACCAACACAAGCAGAATCATTTTTCGACTAGCCATTTCAGTAAATTTTTGTTTGCAGGTACCAGCAGTTAATTAAGTGTAAATTCAGTTCAATTCACTTCAATTAATATAATAGTCGTACAATATTCCTGCCTTTTATACGAAATTAGCGCGGTTTGTTTTGTCTTCGTTACGCAAGGATAGTTCGAATATTTCGCGCAAATATTTAAATTATTTTATTTTTACTTTTGACATCTACCCGTGAAATAGATGCATTTTTAAAATACCGTTACAAAAATGTTGGCGTATATTTTTTGCTTTGCGTTTCGAATTAACTGCAACGCGCGTGTTTTGTGCGTGTTTTTTGCATTTTACTTTACAGAATTTTTTACTTCTGCAATTAGTGTTTCCCAGATTATATTCGAAATGTATAGGAATATAATTATAATAAATAGAGGAAGATCAATATCATTTTATATAAATTTTTGTTATAAATTTAATAATGAAACTCTATATTTTATTAAAATTGTAAATTTATCAATTTCGAAAAATTGCAATTGAATAAAACGTAATAGGTGCTGTCATGTTAATTTTATTTCCATCCAAGTGCTATTAGTCATCATTCATCACAAACAAGCAAGTCATTTAGAAGACCATTCAAAACTCCCAAGTCAAGATTCTTTGTTACTGACTTAATGACTGGGGATAGAACCGGAATCAAGCATGCAGGTGGGGATGGTTTTGCCATGGCCTAAAAAAATCAAAAAATTCGTAGTAATATTAAACAATACAAAACTTAAACTTCTTTTACACATGATACTCACACAACCCAAAACAAAAACAATTAAACAAAGCAGTACTAATTGCTGGTTTGCCAAGTTTAGTTACCTTGTTGTATATATGAGAAACTAGACTCCTTTTATACGCAAAAAAAAACAATTTTTTTTCCGGCCAATTTGTATATATAATGCATAATTTGGAAATTTTCCACACTCCTAGTGTGCTGATTAGTTACTGATAACACGAAATATTTTTTATTTCTGGTTTTCATTATTTAGAATTTTTAATTGCAACATTTTTAAAGGACCATTTATTCACAATAATTTTTGGACAAAACTAGTCAAATTCAAACATTTCAAAGCATTGTATTGAGCATACATTGAATGTAATTTGTTGAAAATGTAATGAGCACTATTTCATATTGCGTTATATCAAACTTTTCATGCTTTTTGTTATTAAACTGTTTGGGTTTTGCAATTTTGATCCACGTTTTGTTCGATTTTAAACGATTAAAACCTATAACTCGTCAGCAATTGTATGAATATTGCATCTACATGATTGCAAAACCTTTTGTAAAATTAATTTTATTTTTGCGTATTCAAATTTTTTATTTGAGCCCTATGGTATATGGTATATGTACTTGTGTAATGACAGCGCAAAAATTAATACTTGCTCTTAACTAAAACAGATTATTAATATTCACTGTGACGATGTCAAACCTGCCTTTTATACCAATAACCGCATTTATATATTGTTTGTTTTGAGAAAATAGTTCAAATAGTTTCGAGAAAATATGTTTCTTTTATTATTTTTCAGTTCACGTGTGCCTATTTATGAATGAGGAATAATAACTACATTAATTGTGTGGAAAAAAATTGGTCAAATATTTCTAATTTCCCCGTGTCAAAAACGTGTTGTACTGTTTTATGATAGTAACTAAATTTTGTTAATAACAAAGTGGTTTTACCAATGATGGAAAACATCACTCAGCCTGATTTAAATTGATATCTCATGTTCATGAACAAATAATTCTTTCGATATGTTGCTAACTATATTATGCAATTTCTATAAGCTTCAAGTAGAAGTAGTTGAGATGTATTATTATTATATACTGGCTTTTGTGGACGACTTCGTCCCGGTAGTATTTAATAAAAATATAATTCGTTTTTACTTTCTTGTTCTAGACATAGTATGTGTCAATTCTATCAATAAGGTTTGCAATTTTATTTTAAAGAAATTAATTATATAAATAATTGCTCACAATGCACTTCAGCGCGCCATCTCGGGTTCAACTATTTAAGTATAACTATGATTTAATCTCAATGCCAACTTTTATGCTATAGAAAAGGGCAGGCTTTAGGGTTTTCCCTGCAATTATTCAAATTATTCTCGCCGTAAAAACCATCCTTGGACTTTAACGTACAAGTTTTTGTATTTGAACTTGTATTTTACATCATCAAAAATAGTCACAGCCTTCACACAGGCCGTCCGTGTTTAAAGTACTGCTTTTCATGTCTCAAACCGGTAGAAAAACTGGCGTTTTTAAGTTGGAAGTATAACAATAATTTTATTTTAAATTATAAAGTAAAAAAGTATATATCTATATATATTTATTTATTTAAATTAAATATGTTAATGTAGCTACATTATTAAAAACAAAAAAATAATAGATAGTATTCATATTGCATATTTATTGTCATGTTTACTTCGATTTGATCCTCTACTAATCACAAACCAGCATGTCATTAAGAAGACCATTCACTTGTCCCAAATCAAGATTCTTGGTAACAGCCAAGATGATTGGCGATAGGATTGGTCCCAACGCAGGGATTGAGCAGGAACGTTCTCTTGGCTTAGCCATAACCTGTAAGAAATAAATATATAATTGATAATATCAAATATAACAACAAAATTTTAATTTTGTATAATTACACTAGCCAAAACACAGACGATTAACACAAAAATAATAACTTTTTGGTTTGCCATTTTGGAAAGTTCTCTTTTTTGTTTTCAGTTAAATATATTATTGTATTGTTACTTTGTATGCCTTTGTGCACTTTGATGTAAGTTCAACAAAACTTCTTCCTTTTATACCAAAACACTGCATTAGGCACGGAAACGAAATATTTTCGTCTAAATATTGGAATCTCATTATTTTAAAATATCGCGTCTACCTCAGCCATGTGCGAGCATGTCAAATATTTTCGTGTTTTAAACTAGCTGTTTGCTCACACGTGGAAACGTGAACATCATTAAAATTACGAGGCGTTTGTATAAAAATAGCACATAATTTTGTATTACGTACAAAAATATTGCAAACAACATCATTAAATATAACTTCTTTTTAATACTTTGAATGAAAATAAAGACTTAAACGATGATCTTTAATATAAAAATGAATCACAAAATCTGTTAGTAAGCGCTTAACTCAACAACGCCTAGACAATTTTGGCCAATTCATTTTTTAAAATGTTCGTTAAAGTCCAAGGATGGTTTCTACGGCGAGAAAAATTCGAATAATGGCCGGGAAATCCCTAAAGACAGTTCTTTTCTATAGGATAAAAGTTGGTATTGAGATTCAATCATAGTAATAGTTAAATAGTTGGATCCGAGATGGCGCGCTGAAGTGCATTATTAGCAATTCTTTATATAATTAATTTCTTTTAAATAAATTTGCGAATTTTATTGATAGAATTGACACATACCTTGTCTAGAACCAGAGAGTAAAAACAAATTACATTTTTATTAAACACTACCGGCTCTAAGTAACGGGCAAAACCTAGTATTACATATATTTTATAATATATTGAGGATAAAATGATTACAAATGTAGATCCAACACAATACAATAAGATAACACAAAACCAACACTTACATTATACTCGCAATTTATGACGAATTGCTAGAATTATCAGTAATTTCAGGTGGACTTGTGATTTGCCTGTCTTCGGGACAAATTAATACCCGTTCGAGAATTTGAAGTACAAATGCTGGCAATCCAACGCTGTAGATAACGGGGCTGACCACTTGACTGACAAAGCGATTAAGGGGAGCTGGAATAATCGTATCACATGACGATGGAATTGTTGAAATTTGGGAACCGTCGTTGTCATCCTCTGCAGCTGGCTTTGCAAAGATCTAAAACATGATAACCAAAAAAATATACAATATTGCTACATTCAGATTCAATCAATAAATGTTCAACTTACATTTGCCAGAAGACACGCAGCAAAAACAATAGACAGTAATTTATTTGCTGCCATTTTACTTCTATGGAGATATTCTATGGAGGATATAGTAAACTGATTTATTTTGGTTGAAAAAATGCATTTATACGAATATTTCAATGTTAAACTGGTTTTAATATCAATATCGTACTTGAATTAAAAGGTTTTTGATTATTTTCCGTCGATAAAAATTTAAAGTTTAAGTGTTTTTACAATTTTTGATTAATATTTAGTTATTTAGTAGGTAAAACTATATTGTTAAGCAATAGGAATCATGAAATTAAAATACATAACAAAATTATAATAAATTCAAGTGTTAGTATCGACAACAATTTAAATTTACTCAAATTAGAATGATAAGTAATGTTAGTTGCGTAATATGTATTGAAACAATAAATACATTTACGAAAATCAGTTGAAATTAAAATTAATTAAATTAAAAAAATAAAATATCAAAATTTAACATTTAAATTCCCCTTCAAATCTCAAAACTCCAGAAGTGGACCCTTAAAACCCAATCATTAAGCAGTATTTTTATAAAAATGTGAGAAAATGTCATTTTCAAGGATTTTAGATTGCATTGTATAAAAAGGCTTCCAAACTAAAATATGACTGTGAGAAACTCCAAAAAATTTATTAGTTCACGAGATACAAGACGCTTTAAGTACCATACTTTCAATGGCTATAAACCTGTAAATTGAAAGGATTTAGGAAGTGAAAAAGGTCTGTATAATCTAAAGTGTCTCTTTTACTACAACATGAGACGCAAACACTATAAAACGATATATTAATTCACAAAATTCAAGGTGTTTTTCTCACCAGTTTTTCAATTTGAAAACCTCTATTTAAAATTTGTATATAAATTATACAAATTGAATACATTAGGTTATATACCTAAAACCACTATTTTCAAACGTAGACAGTATAATTTAATGCTAATTTGTTAGAATGTTATCATGCTTTCCTGTTTCCGGTTCGGACGTAACATATTCATGACTTATTCGCCATTACGAACGTGGCTGCCAGTCGCTCGCGGCGCAAAAACTTATTTAATATTAAGAAATTGCAGTTTATCGCCACTAAAGTGCACCTGGAGAGCTATAAATAACCCGTCGTGCAAAAATATTAAAACGTTTTCACTTTGCGCGACGCGACGCCGCTAAGAAGCCGCGGCGCAAAAAATAGGGGCAAAACATTAAAGACTAAGATGCGCGCCACTTTCGTTGATTTATTCATATCAAATTCATATTCCTTCAGCTAAGTTTATTGCTCACATTTTGTTACATTTTGTAATAAGTAATTGCCGTGCACACAACGTTGAAACATTAAAACGTTGTTTATTGTACCAAAATTAGTAGAAAGCAATTTATAATAATTTTTTACTTCCATCTTTAAAACGCCTGTTTTGTAACGCAAAAAGAATTACTTTAAACACGGAGAAGCAAAGCCGTGACTAAAGTACTTTAGTCATGGGCTTTAGTCACGGGGTGGAGCTTGCGCCTGCGCATTTGCATACGGTGCATATGAAACGTCATGCGTCGTCAGTCAAACAGGTCAAAGTAGCTCATTATCAATCTCGTGACTAAAACTCGCGTTAAGCCACTTGATCTTTAATATTCTATTATTATGCAACTTTATCAATAATTTGGGCAAAAATAGAAATGCTAATTTAATATTACGTGTACACGTGTATTGCACATGAAAATAAAGTGAATATTTGTAATTCCAAAAATGTGCAAATATAAATTTCCTCAATTATGGCAAAACCATGTTAAAACGTCACAGAAAAACGCACCGCCTCATAAACTTTTATGAAAACTGCTTTGTTTTGTCTTCAACCCATAGAAAATCATGTATAATTTCTTTATCACATCAAAATATTCAGAGTTGTAATGTGTAATAAACATGGAAACATTCAACCGCCAGCATAAAACAGGTTAAAAGTGAATAATAAATACGGCCCTGGTAAGAAATGTATGAAAAACATGCGCGCTCAAATGAAAATCCGATACCGCAAATGTTCGTGCTCAATTTTTCACGAAGTTTTCCTCTTCACGTTCGACATGCATCCGTTTCCTCCTCCAGCACCGCACGCGGATATAAAACTTTGATTGCTACTTAGAAGCGTTTCACTTGTACCGCGTAAACGCAAATGAATAATGAATATCGGAAAGTTTCAACTTTTCTCAAGCAAGAGGACACACAGCGCCATCACACGAGGAAATGCACCGGATGTGCCGACGAGCTGGAAACTCGCGGACACTCTCTGGACCAGTTAAAATGCACATAATCAATTCGCTTCGCATAGTTCGATTGCACTTTTTCGTCTCGGGGCGTTCGGGTTTTGCATTTAATTAAAATACATGCCAACTTCAAGTCGCCGGCGCACACACGCCGAAGCGATTGTTTCACTTTGTGCACGGGTGTGGAATTTGCTCGGCGAGCGAATTAAAGCCCCCAATTTCAGTTCAGTACAGGGATACGGAAAACATACACACAGCGTGTTGATCCAAAACGGGCGGTTCACAAATAAAACGAACGTGGATTCAATTTACTTCGAAAATTTATTTCATTATTTCACCGTTGAATTAAATTTGAAAAAAAGAGGAGCATACATGAAACAAGTTCAGCAAATGAAAATGAAATTAAATTGAAATTAATTAAAATCCTATTTTGTATGTGATTAAATTTGTCTGTAATTGGTAATTGAAAGCTTGTAGCAAACTGATTGATGTCGAAAGATTAATCGGTGCCATCTGATATTTCAATGAACGTACCAATCAAATGAATTGAAACACTACATGCATCAAAGCTATTTATTCATTGAGCTGTTCTATTCAAGCTTAATCTGGGCCATTTATTTATCTGTTTGAGATGTTTAATCGTAAATCGTTTTATTGGATCATATTTTTATTTCTTTATTTTAATACAGGCAACCAACAATACATATTAGTCTCTTGACAGATTTCGTAAAATATTTATATAACTATCAGTATACATTTATTTATTTATTTATTGACTTGACATGTTTATTCATTAATAATTCTAATAAATCTTATTTTTATTTCTTTATTTTATTTTAGGCAGCCAACAATACACATAAGTCTATTGAGAAAACGTTAGACTAAAAGTTTTTGTAAAATATTTATGTAACTCAAAATATAAAACTTTGTTAGTATTTTTTATGTTATAAATAATCAGGCTTTAATTTATTTATCTACTTGACATGTTTAATTATTAATAATTCTAATAAATCTTGTTTTTATTTCTTTATTTTAATATAGGCAATCAACAATACACATTAGTCTATTACGTTAAACTAAAAGCTGTTGTCAAATATTTACAACTCACAGTAAAAGACTTTGTTGGAGTTTGTTAAAGTATTTTATTAGATGATCTGGCTTAAAATTTGAAATCTGAACTAATGCATCGCGTGCGCCTGAAACGAAAAAGAACCCTCCGTTTTAGCAATAACGAGCTTTCGCTAATGCACTTTTAATTAAAGACACTGTGGTAGTGAGGCGGCCAGCTGGACGACAAGGTAGAGCTGGTGGTGGCAACGCGATCGCAGGAAACTCAAGCGGCAGGATTTTATTAAATTTTAATTATGAAATACTCACGCTACAGCTGCACAAACCGGATGGTATTTAATAAAACATATCACCGACGGAATTACATATATATTTTTACTTTGACGTCTTTATTTTCGTTTCTAACCGAGAATGTTTAATAATTAAATATAGTCGAAATAATGTTTGATGAAACTTAATAATACTAACATCAAAGTTCTTTACCTTCCACCTCATAACCATTATTTCCGTCACTTTATAATTCTCGCATCCAGCCGAAACTCGACGTTAACTTCCAACTGCAAACGCTACGAAGATGATTTATGGTTGAATGCTGCCATGACAGTTTTTGGCAGCGCAAAATAAAAAAGTAGCGCAACGTACACATGTTTCAACTATCAGAAAGCGAGGGAGCACGCGCCACTTCGCACCTTCGGGCTGTTTTTGCGCGCTCGCTCGGAAGTTAAAACGCAAAGTTGGGAAGAAGTTCGCTGGAGGTAGTTTTCCGTGCACTTTGCCAAACGGAGCGTCGACATTGTCTCGAGGCGTCGGCGGCGGCATCACAGCAGCAGAGCCATTGCCGGTGAACTAGTGAACTTACGAGGGCATTAATCATTTTTGATATACATTGTGAGTGTTAGTCGTGTGATGCATTCATGACAATCTATTCAGTGTGAGCGTTCGGGGGTAGGTACTTTATGATATCTTTTTTATTTATTTTCGCTTTTTTTACTTTTAGTCATTACTTTCACATTTGGATCGAGAGAGTTTTTTAATCAAATAAGTACGAAACTTAATGTTATTATGTTTCAGGAGTTATTATACGTAGGCAACCAACAATTCACTACTTTTAGGAAGAAATTGATATATAAACAGGCGTCTACCTTTGACTATTAATGGTATTACTGTTACTTTCACACATAATTTTATTCTGTATTCAAAAAATCAAATTTTTTTTGCTTTGTTTCAGTTTTACTCCAACCAAAACCCATTAATTACTAAAATTACAAGTATTTAAATTGTGGGCTAATTGCAAGATATATATTACTGTAAATTATCATATACAGAATGGATTACAACACAAATTCATGTATTTGTAAACTGTTGTCTTGTTCATCACTCGTCACATTGTCATTATTTGCATTGAGGATTGCGGATTGCGAACGTTATCGTGATGGCAATTGCGATATTGCGATATTGTGATACGCATTGCGCTGGCAAATAATACGTACATTTGTCTGGATGATCCTGATCTATTGCGGACGATTATCCTCGCCACAGAAATGGCGGAATATCAAATATGAATATAACTTTCGCGGCGCGCGTGCATTTCTTTCAACAATGCGCTCGTGTACATCATATTCCCAAGCCGACTGCGCCGCAGAAAGCCAAGATTTATACGCAGATAAGAATTGCAATAGCTAGAAAATGGAAATGGCGAAATGAAACAAATGAAATGTAAGCAGAAATTAACATTTTTGCGTATGAAAATTGAGATAATACTCGAATGCGATTATTCTTCGTGGAACAAAAGAAAGTTTTTAATGAAAAGCATTATAATTCTAAAATAAATGCTTAAATAAAAATTTATTAAAATATCATTTGATTTAATTGTCAAATGCTTCTAGAATATTTACCTATTTATGCTGCAAGACCTTGCTTATACGGAAAGACGCTAAAAACATCATTAATACTGGAATATTTAAATTTTTTATCTCCGCATATTTGACGCATGAGAAATACGCTGAGCTGGAATAAACCAATGTAAATCAGCACTGCTGACAAGTTCAAGATGAAACTGAACCAACACAACGTAAAAGTAACAACATCCAACAAGGTCAATGAGATTAATCGTCAATCGCCAATCGTCAATCGTAAAATAACTGCGTTAAAACTTCATCGCTGGAACCAAATCGCGTGTTATGCGCGAATGTCGCGTGTTTACATTCATTCAGTCGGATATCGTCTCGTCCCAGCGACGATTATTATTTATTTATTATCGCTAAGATTCACACAGGGTTCACGTTGTTGTTGGGTTTTTTCGGTGTACTAGTCCAAAATCCCGCGGCTTGCATTTGTCCAACGTTCAATCATTCGCGGAACCGTCTTCTGGTCAGTTGTTAGCGGTGGGCAATTAGCGCGCAGGTAAAAATCACAGCTCGTCATCGCTGCGAGACTATAAAACAGAGCCGCGCGTGTTTGTTCGGTCACTTTGTGAATTAACCGCGAGGGCCGAGTGCTAATCGAGCGTGAAACGTTTACAAACAACTTGAACAATTGAATTTTGTACATATAATTACGATTTTTGACCTGACAACTTCAATATGAAGTGTTTTATTGCAATTGTGGTTGTTTTGGGTAAGTAAATATTAAATTACTATAGGCAACCAAATAAACACAAGAATTTTAACTTTATTTTTGACCTGTTTAGGAGTAATTTTAATTACTTGTGATCCAACCAGAGCAAACCCTTTAAGCAGAGTCCGAAGACAAGGATGGGCATGGGGTGAAGACTCAAATGATTCCTCAGCTGAACCAACGCGTCGACCACGTCCAACACCACGACCCACCGAATTCCAACCAACTAGAACCACCCAGGCAAACCAAAATCCAGATCCTAATGCGTCTACCACTACAGCTACACCTGCAACACTAAGATCTTGCATTAATGCCTGTCCGACAACACAGCAATACAATCCAGTTTGCGGAACAAACCGTGTGACATATGACAACTTAAACAAGTTAAACTGTGCTAAAAGCTGCGGAGTTGGTAAGTGTCAACATACTTAACCTCAAAACACCGCTACATGTTTATGTAACTCTTTTTAATTTGTGAATTACAGCTGTGGATATGATGTTTAACGGGACCTGTCAGCCAGTGACAAGATAAAAACAAACAACAACATTCAAGACTGTTTTTTATATACATAACTAGATATAAATAATTAAATTAACTGTTATTTCCAACCGAAACCGCAAATTTTAATCACGAATTATAATTGAATATTTAATCACGAAATAAGTTCATCCTGACTATAAATAAATCCCACACTTTAATAGATTATATCTCTTGGAAAAACCACAATGCGCTACAATTTCGACAAATTGTTTTTTCCTGATGCACTGTATGCTCGTAAATGGAATTCAAGCGTACAGTTGAGTCATGAAGTGGTCTTCCTTGCCGCGAGACGTCATTACCATCGTCATTTATTAAAATCGCAACAAGAAAATGCCAACACACAGCTCAATATAAATACCGACAATCGATCGCGTTCTTTGCCGTTGGAATCGAAGCATTCGAGACCTGTTTGCGCAAAGTTGTAGTCGCAAATTGTACAACTTGCACGACAAGTGTTGCCGGATGGTGGAACATAAGTTTAGTTGAAGTGCGCGTTACTTGGTTGAATAATATCGAGTAGTGGCATCCAGTTTCAAGCCTTGTATCGAATATGCCGCATCAAGAAATCAACATGGCGAGACGACTTATGCTTACGGCAATATGTAAGTGCATTAAAAAAATAAAAAAAATAATTACTCATAAAATATAACAAGGTGTAATTATCACGTCGTTAAATCGATCGTAAAATATAAAACTTACTACTTATTAGTTAATTATTTTGTTTTAACTGTTTTGTTACAATTGTAGGCAACCCACATTACACCAAATACATAACCAAATATAATATTTAGTCTTATTTTTTAGTTTTAGTGTTATTTTCCGATCTGGCGACCTCATCTCCACGCCTAATTCGTGTTCATCGTGCAAAACGTCAGAATACAGTTTTGAATTGGGATAACGACGCAATTCTGTTCAATAATGCTGACATGGATGACGACTCTCAATGGTGGCGAACCACACCGAGGGCAGTTGTAAGAGCATCCAGACCAACAAGGCCACAACGGTCCAGGTTAGGGATGACGACTGCGAGCACGGTGGCGGTTCCGGGAATGGGCACTACTCGCACCGCCTGCGAGGACAACTGCCTCTCAACGCAGGAGTACAATCCTGTATGCGGTACGAATGGCGTGACTTATCACAATCATGCTCGGTTAAACTGTGCGAGTAGATGTACTACTGGTAAATTATAAACAATTTTAAATATTTTTATTAATTTAATACAATGTTGATTTTAGTTGTTGGAATGCAACACCTGGGACGATGTTCACGAGTTGGATAATTATAAATAATCATATTAGGTATTTACTAACAATACTAAAACATACCAAAAATTATTTATTTATTCTATTTTATAACTAACTAGCTTTTGCCCGCGATTTTGTCTTGGTAGTGTTTAATAAAAATGTATTTCGTTTTTACTCTCTTGTTCTAAACATAGTATGTGTCAATTCTATCAATAAGATTCGCAATTTTATTTTAAAGAAATTAATTATATAAAGAATTGCTAATAATGCACTTCAGCGCGCCATCTCGGATTCAACTATTTAACTATAACTATGATTGAATCTCAATGCCAACTTTTATCTCATAGTAAAGGGCTGTTTTTAGGGTTTTTCCGACAATTATTCAAATTTTTCTCGCCGTAAAAACCATCCTAGGACTTTAACAAACATTTTTAAAAAATAATTGGCCAAATTAGTCTATGCGTTGTTGAGTTATGCGCTTTCTAACACATTTTACGATTTATTTTTACATTATAGATTATTTAAATTGTTTATTGTTGCGTGTGCAGAGATAATACAACATGAATATTGTATATGTTTATGAATATTTTCAGCGATTTCCATTTATTCATGCGAAGCGATTTCTTTTTCCTGTTAGGCACTTATTCCAGCCACAAATACGTTTGTTCTGTCCGCTGCAAAGTAAAACAATCTATTCCATACGATTCGATACGATTCGCAAACGCTGTAAGCCCGTGAAAGTAAAATAAACATGGCACGCGAGTTGTTCCACGTCCTCGCTGAGAGCTTACGCTCGCCGTGGCCTGATATTTCCTGCGCTTTATTAATATCGTTTCAATGCTCGATCCCTTTTAGATTTGCGGATTTTGACAGACGTATTACGACGGCGAGGGCGCGTGGGCGCGCGTTGCAAATACACTACTTTCCTTTTAGCTGCCGCCTCCGTCGTTGCCAGCAAAGTTGAAGCTGATGTCGGCGGCGGCTGCGATGTGTTACAGAAAGCTTTTCGTGCACCACGCATCCGAGTAGCTACATACTTTCAGGCGCAGACGTTCGAAAATCAAAGCAAATCAAAATCGAGCAAAGTCTGCAAAATGAAAATTTGAAATCATGAAAAATTTAAAGTGAAACGTGCGTTAAACGTGTAGTGTTTAATTTTGTTACCTCAGTGTTTATTTATAAAATAAAAATTATTTTAAACGAAAATAATATTCTGACTTGACGTGATCAAAAGAATAATATAATTTAACTAAATGTCAACTAGTGTAATCGAATGTAAATATAATTTATCGCTTTGAATGTGCAAAATTCTATCCTGGAACGTGTTGCAATACAAAAGTGATGTTTTCGCTGCGTGTGCAGCGAGCAGGAAAGTTTAACATAACATTTTATTCTACCTTAACGTGCGCTGTTGCATTCTGAAATAACTCCGAATATAAATTACACATTTTTGCCGCTTTTACGACGCTTTTGTGGCGTAATGCATGTACGACTGCGCGCATTTGCGTTCTACTCCTTCGGCTTGTACGTACTGTTTGTTCGTGAGTTTTAGGTGTATTCCCGTGTAGCGCCGTGTTTTGCGTGATGTAGAGATGACACGGATAATCCCCGAATGATCGACCCGCGTCGTTTGCCCGTCCCGGCGGCGGCGGCGCGTCGTCGTTCGTGGCAAAAGGCATAATGTATCAAGAGGGATCAGGCGACTTCGAAACGGCAAACAGAGAACAATATGTGCGCCTCTTCCTGAGCTAAGCTCCAGCGATTAATGTACGACAACATTTTCACAAAGCGGAAAAACTTTATTCGTCTTAGAATGCTGCCGGTGCGTAAAAGTTTAAATGGTAAATCTATGGATTAATATATAATACATACAATTAATTATTCAATGTTATGAATATTTGAGCGGAACACCTGCTCCTGAATTGTTGAAACACGATTTTAACGCTATTTAGCTATGTTTCACTGTGACATTATTATTCAATGCAAATTGCAAATTGCAAAAGTGTTATTCTTGCTGAATGGATGATATAATCGAATACAAATGAATTATTCTGTGTTAAATGTGTGATCCTAACGTGCGGAAATAATTTCCGTAAATTTCGGCGTAGGTCTGATTAAACCGCAGCGCAGTAATCGAATTTATTATCGAGCCACGCCCGCCGACGCAATAATTAAGCCGTGAATCTCGGCCTGCGTATAATTCTAAATATATTATGTCGATGACGATGAGCCCGATCGATGTGCACAATGCGCCGCTGAATTAAACCGTGGACGGGCCTCGAGTGCGGGGGAACAATTGGCGCATCGCGCGGTGTTCTCATCGATGAAGATAATTTTAATCGAAATTTCAACTTTGCGCGAATTATCCGTCCGGGCGAGAGTGCGTGCGAAAAGCGTATTAAATGATAACATCGTTCAACTGCGCGCTGCAACACACCAACCGCCCGCTGACCTGAGCATATTATTTTATAATGGAGTGGAGAGTACAATACTTTAATCAAATTCTGCGCGGAGAGCAAAACAATAATACTACGCCGAGAAAATGTGATATTTTAGGAAGCATTGTATGAAAATACAGCGCGCAGCAGGAATAATTTGTGTTATTTTTTTTCCTGAGGATATGTAGATGTACAATTCGTAAATTAGGAGGCTTTCAACAAAAGTTAACCTGGATGTAATTAATTAAAAAAGAAATATGTGGTAAAAACGCTCTTTAAAATATTGCAACATAAGTAAACGTTTACTGCTGACATAATCTAAAAAACAGTATTTGAGGTTATGTATTGTGAAGTTGGTTGCATACAACAGCATTTTTCATTTGTAGTTTTTTTGTAATTTGTTTTATAACCGGTGATTTAAAAAATGCAAGGTCTGTAATCCTTTACTGCTGTCATAACCTAAAAAACAGCATTTGAGGTTATACTTTGTAAAGTTAGTTGCATACAACAGAATTTTACATTTGTAGTACTTTGTAATTTGTTTTATAAACGCTGATTTAAAAATGCAACGTCTGTAAACGTTTACTCCTGTAATAACCTGAAAAACAAGTTAAAAAAGTAGTGCCCAGAGACGAAATCTCGAAATCAAGGATATTCTGCACTTTATGCTGGATTAAATGTTTGCTCGGCGTCGCGGCGCGCACGTCCATCGGGCTTAGAGGCCAAATTGAAGGCCAATTTCTGATGAAACGTCGCGACGCCGATGGTCCGGACTGCGTGCCCGGTTTAGCAAAAATCTGGCCAGCGCACTTTTCGGCTTTAAAATTCCCACGAGGTAAGAAGGAAATCGCAAAACGTTAAATCTGATGATATTGGCCGACCGCCGAAATTTCCCCCGAATCGAAAATCGAGTCGAAGGCGGTTGACGTGCAATGCTCGCCGCCGCCGCCGCCACTACGAAATGCGATCGCGTCCGGCCGCAAGCAGGAAAATTCACGAATTCTCCTTCTGCTCGTAATATTCGAAACGTGATGACTTAGGCATTCAGGAGGGTTGTAAAATCACTACTAGCCAAACTCGTTCGTATCGCGCAAATACACCCTGCAAAAAATCAAATCAAAATATATACTTACAGTATAAGCAATACACAATAAATAAAATAATACTTTTCATCAGAATAATATCAACTTCGGAAAATAATTTCAGTGTAAGGCAAGTGTATGAAATTAGTTCAATTTGTATGTCCATTTAGTTCGGTGAGTTCGGTGTAGATTTGAAGCGAGTAAAGTTTCGGCATGTTTTTGTCATCGGTCAGTAACTGTCTGCCTGTCTTGAGGGCTTAAGGACTCGATGCGACAGTTTATTATAAACCTGTTTACGTCGAAACGACTTCCCTGGTGAAGTCCTTCGGTGGACGCGGGCGATGCGAGCTAGTCCCAGTGCAGCCGACGTACCAAATGACACTTATTTGCATCGAATTCGCCGTCTCGGGTGGCTACAAACTTTGGCCCTTTCCAGCCACCTCCGCCGTCTCTTGCTGTTCGCTTATTAACGACGAGCGCAGCCGACAAACTGCTCGCAACAACCAGCAGACAACTCAACCCCACTTATAGTTTGTCAACGCGCAGCAATATTAATTTTCTAATTAAAATCATCTTTAGGTTATTAATCCGCCAAATTACCCGATGATATTAGAATGTCAGGGAGGACAGAAGGGTGAAGGGCCAAGAGTTTAATATTAAATTTATGATTTTTTACTCACTGAAGTGTTTTTACATCCCTGAATATTTTTTTTCTGTTTGATAAAAACGGTGGAGTGAAAACGTATTCTTACTTAATATTTCTCACTATATGCAACCAATGATGCAATAACAAAATATTACCACACTAGCTTTTGCCCGCGACTTCGTGTTTAATAAAAATGTAATTCGTTTATACTCTCTTGTTCTAGACATAGTATGTGTTAATTCTATCAATAAGATTTGCAATTTTATTTTAAAGAAGTTAATTATATAAAGAATTGCTAATAATGCACTTCAGCGCGCCATCTCGGATTCAACTATTTAACTATAACTATGATTGATTCTCAATGCCAACATTTATTCTATAAAAAGAGCTGGCTTTAGGGTTTTCTTGGCAATTATTCGAATTTTTCTCGCCGTAAAAACCATCCTTGGACTTTAACGAACATTTAAAAACAAGAATTGGCCAAATTGGTCTAGGCATTGTTGGGCTATGCGCATACCAACAGATTTTGCGATTCACTTTTATATTATAGATAATCATAGTAAACCATTAATTATCGGAAAATGTTTTGTTTAATTAAAAACCAGTCTAAAAACAAATAAACACAAAGATAGCATTTTAGTGCTTGGCGTTTTAGGTTAAATTGCACAAAAGATAGAATATTAACGCATTAAAGAAAAATAGCGCTCATTTTCGTGCGGAATTCTATTGGAGTTTGTTATTAACGAGCCCGCATGCGACGCAGCGAAAGATAAAATACGTTTTCATATCGCGCACGTTTTGCGTTACGAACAATTCTTATTTCCGCGCTGTTATCTTCCGCGAAAGATGTGTAATAAAACTTTGCGGCGCGTTCTAGGCCGTGGAATGCGCGAAGACTTATTCTTATGCTAAGTTGTGGTTATGAATGATGTGTGGATTTCACGATGGCGGTTTGTCATAAACGTTCAGATGGCGTAAACAAACAAAAAATTTAACACATTACACAAATAATCATAAGTATCCTCAGACATTATCCTTTATTATACTTTTTAGTTGTAATAAAACAGTTTTAAATTTTAAACAAATAAAGAAAAACTGCATTTTTGGGTGTCAAACTACTCGTAACACTTGAAGCTGTCAAATGTTTGACAGATAAAATGGATTTTAGGTTATAAATTATTATTAGAGTAAATATAGTCAGCTTCTAAGCTGTGTTAAACTATTAAACTTATAAAAGTTATGGATAAGAATCAAAATCAATTTTTAAAAAGTAATTTAATGAAGTTTATTTTTCCTCCAATATAAAAGAAACTGACAGTTTGAAATCTATAGAAGTTATAAGCTGCTTGCATAACTTTGGTTATGAACCTCTATTGATTTTTTGAATACTGTTTAATCCTGATTACTCTCGTTAACACTCAAAATTTAATGATGGTATTTGGAGTACTTTATAACTGAGTAACGACTTCCGTGCACAGCTGTGCCATGGCTGACCTCAGCATAATACACACGAATGCATAGCACACGAATTATAACTAATGTAAAGCGCTCTTTCATGCACGAAACTCGTGCAACTACGACCCCACCGCAAAAGTGCATGTGTGCTAGGGTGAAAAATGAAGCACACACGATGCAAAAACGCGAAAATCGCGCAATCAGCGGTTTCAGCGCGTATTACACTTAAATCTCCGTAACGATTTGTGGTTAGCATGATGTAGCGTTCGGTTGCATCGACTAAAAACACCGCCGCGCAAATTACGCGCAAAAAAACCGCAAGCGCGAAAAGCATTCTAATTAAAAATGAGTTGTGATCAAATTAAAAACATAACACGAAAAAGCCAAATAAAACATTATAGCATACTACGGCGTAATAATTATTAATTATTCCCGGAACAACATCATCATCTATTTATGTTCGCACGATATTCATTGAATGTGCATCAGAATACAACGAAATTACTGATAGATTGATTCCATGTTCGGTTTTGTGTCAATTAATATTAAATCTGTGTTTTATAACATGAATAAATAAATAATTGAAAATTTATTATACGTTTCGTGTATATTTGGCAAAATTAAAATAGTTTTCAAACAACAAATGAAAAATAAACACATTTAAAGTTTAAAATTATTTTATGTTTTGATTATTGCAATTCATCAATAGTTATATAATAGTGGATGCGTTTTTTGGTTTTCATAACAAATTACCGAAGCTGATAACCGAAAATTCGTTGCGGAACATGCGTGCGGCCGATCGATTCGAACGCGAATTTTTGATAATTAATTTGTGGCTGGGCGTAAAACGTGTTTTTGAAATGCATGCGTGCATTGTAATGCAAGTGGGAAATGGGCCATTTGTTCGTTTCAATGCAGCGCAGTGAACATTATCTAATTAATTGTAAACATTCGCAGCCGCAGCGTGCGCTCTTCTGCACGTTTTACGATGCATCCGTTTCGCTATTTTCATAAAACCAAATCGAAGCAATTAATAACAGTGAAGAATTTCCAAAACCGTATAGTTTTGTTTTAAACACTAATAATTAATAAAATATAAGTGTATATTCAATCAATAATTTCGTTATTGTTAATTTTGATATTGGAAAAATTTTCATTCTTATTTTGATTTGAATGTAGTATTATAGGCAACTAATATACATTTATTTAACTTGTAATTTGTTATTTTATTTGTTAACAAAATACAAGTTTATTTCCACTTGAATTTCATATTTTCTCTGTAGTTTTTATAGTTTTGTACATTCACGCTAGGCAACCACATATACACTAAAACCAAATCAATTTTCATATAAAAACCAATTTATCCGAAGTAAAACCTACTTATACCTAACAAAAATAAGTTCAAATGATTAATCATAGTTCAAAGTATGTTAATATATTGATGTTAAACTTGTACATCGTTTAAAGTTTTAAAATATTTGCAAGAAGTAAAACTGAATTTGCACCAATCAGAAGCGTTCAACACTTTGCTACGCGCCAGTTTCGCGCATCGCCAGCCGTTCAGCCTGGTTCAACCGCATGTTGGTTTCGGCACGTTTCAAGTTTGGGCTGTTTATCAAAGTGTAGAAGCTGTTGTAGCACGAAAGTGTTACCCCGTGACAATGTCGGATATGAAGTACATCCTGGTGACTGGTGGTGTGATCAGTGGTGTTGGCAAAGGCGTAATTTCAAGCTCATTTGGCACGATTCTCAAATGCTGCGGCATTGAAGTAACGTCCATCAAGATCGATCCGTACATTAATTTGGACGCTGGTACTTTTTCACCCTATGAACATGGTAAGCAACAGGCTATTCCTGTTTGATTGTAAACATATAATATACAAATCGCCGTTGGTTTTAATTGAAATAGTTTGTTTTGCAATATAATATGATGTTGTTTTAACCTATATATAACTCGCATGCTTGCCGTTTACGCATTTTAAATTCAATCAAGGACGGATAAATCCGCTCGTGGCTAGGTCATTAGTTAGCGCGCAATTTAAAATATTACAACTTAAAAAATATATTGTTTAAAAGTTTTCAAAATGGCTGAAAACAAAACAAATGGCGGTGTTTTACAAATTTCAGGCGAAGTTTTCGTTCTTGACGATGGTGGTGAGGTGGATTTAGATTTGGGCAACTATGAGCGTTTTCTCAACATTACTTTACATCATGACAACAATATTACAACCGGCAAGATCTACAAAATGGTTATTGACCGTGAAAGGCAAGGGGATTACCTTGGAAAAACCGTGCAAGGTAAATTACTAATCACATTGAAGTGTTAATATCATTTTTCAATTTTTATTCTTAAATTTTAGTTGTTCCTCATATTACGGATGCAATCCAAGAATGGTGCGAACGAGTATCTCGTATACCAGTGAGCGACAGTGGTAAAACTCCAGAAGTTTGCATTATTGAGCTGGGAGGAACAATCGGCGACATTGAATCTATGGCATTTGTTGAAGCATTTAGACAATTCCAATTTCGCGTGAAACGCGAGAACTTCTGCACTGCTCACGTCTCCCTAGTTCCTCAACCCAGATCCACTGGCGAACAGAAAACCAAACCAACACAAGCATCAGTTAGAGAATTACGTGGTTTAGGCTTGTCTCCAGATATTATCGTCTGCAGGTCAGAGCGACCAATCGACCAGACAGTCAAAAACAAAATTTCAAACTTTTGTCATGTTGCCCCAGAGCAGGTAAAAGAATAAAAATGTAAATTATTATACTATACTCATAAATATTGGGTTTATTTTCAGGTAATATGCATTCCAGACTTGTCCTCCATTTACGAAGTGCCAATCTTTATGGAATCACATGGTATTGTTGCGTACTTAAACGACCGGCTTAAACTGAACATTAATCCGGTTCTACCAGCGCGAAAATTTATGCGACAATGGATAGAACTCTCTCATCGCATTGAAAATCTTCGTACAGATGTTACTATCGCATTGGTTGGTAAATACACACGCTTGGAAGATTCTTACACGTCAATCACAAAAGCTCTACAACATGCAGCCAATATGTTAGGGTATAATATAAAAATTAATTTTATCGAGGCGACTAACTTGGAAAGTGAAACATTGAAAGACGAACCTGTTGCTTATCATGAGTCTTGGTCTTCTTTAGTTCAAAGCGAGTAAGTAACTTAATATAATTTTTTATTTAAAATTTTACTAAAAATGTTTATTTTAATTTATTAGAGGTGTAATTGTTCCTGGTGGTTTTGGTAAACGCGGCGTAGAAGGTAAAATCGCTGCCTCCAAATGGTGTCGCGATAATAACAAACCATTCCTTGGAATTTGTCTTGGTTTCCAAACGGCGGTCATCGAGTTTTCGCGACATGTGCTTAAACTGGCCGATGCACATTCCGCTGAATGTGAAGAGACAACAAAGAATCCGGTTATCATTGACATGCCGGAACACAACACTGGTCAAATGGGTGGTACCATGAGACTTGGCAAACGCACAACTGTATTTAAAAAGGATGTTGATTTTAGCAAATTAAGTAATGTATACATTTAAAGTTTTAAAAATGATATATTAATTATTTACTTTTTAGAACGTTTGTATGGAAACAAAGACAAAATAGAAGAACGTCATCGTCATAGGTTTGAAGTGAACCCTGCGTATATCGAATCATTAGAAGAAGCTGGTCTTAAATTTGTTGGTGTTGATGTAGAAGCCACCCGAATGGAAATCTTCGAAATGGATAATCATCCTTACTATGTAGGAACGCAATTCCACCCGGAATATTTATCGCGACCAATGTCGCCATCCGCACCGTTTATTGGTCTCGTGCTTGCCGCCAAGAAGAAACTACGTTCATACCTGAGCAAAGGCTGCAAACTCTCCCCTAAGGGTAATTGCAAATATGATGATAGTGGTAAGTGGATTTCATCACTAACACTTCGTCCTCTCCTCCTTATCTAATTTATACCTAATGGAATATTTTATCATCATTTTGATCATATTTATTTTAATTTATACTATCGAATCTAGTCGCTAACAAGAATCGAGATCTGCTTGACTATGTCAACAATGTTGATAGAATTATTGCGAGAAAAAGTTGTTTTTGCGAGCTAAGTAAGTTTTTTCATTTATTTGCAATTAATTATCATAGTTGTTAATGTGTAACTAGCATAGTTTAATTTTTTAATACAAACTCACCATCGCATCCAAAGCAACCTGCTGTAAATTTTCGCAGCCATTATTAACTGCTACATATTGAAAAACAAAAAGAAACAACAGAAGTTCCATACAAAGCATAAATGTATAGTCACACATGGGGCTTTTTTATTTATTGATTGTTTTAACAACGTGTGGATTTGTAAAACATTTAATATGTGTGCTTTGATGTACTAATTGAGAACAATTATTAATTTGCCTGTGTTTTAGATGACGATGATGAAGTCACTGAAAGGATGTCTCGCATTGAAGTCGCGGATGGAAGCAGCAGCGCTTACAGCAGTTCTTGAGCCTAATAAGTTCGATTTTTGACTGTATTAATAATACACAATCACTTTATTTTTGTTATTATTCCAAAAGTAATGAATGCTATTATGAATTCCATTTGAATTGTAATTATACAGTTAATATAATAGAAATGTGCAAATGCAAACAAGAGTGCCTTTAATAGAGTAAGAGTCCGTAACGGCCAGACTTACACCATTTTAAGAAAGATGAAAATCGTTGATAGAAAGGATGAACCTTAAGGGTTTCACTAAAACTTTACCACTCTGCGACATGTTTCGCCACACTGTGGCATCATCAGGCAGATGAATATTCAGGTCGTAAAATATTCGGTCGTAACTGCCTCAAAATGGCCGCCAAAGTTATACCTTTTCTTGCAATTTTCAAAACACGCGGTGGAAAACAGGCCATATCTCGGGAACCCTTCGTGATATTTTAGTTTTTCTTTATTTTATGATAGGACATGAGTGTATTTTTAAAATGCACCCGTGAAGCTTTGCGAAATTCGGTTGTAATTGCCCCAAAATGGCCGCCGAAATTTGCCCTTTTCTTTCATTTTTCAATACACGTGGTGGAAAACAGGCCATATCTCGAGAACCCTTCGTGATATTTGAGTTTTTATTTATTTTATTATAGGGCAAGAGTGTATTTTAAAATGCATTCCTGACCCCCGTAATTCGGTCGTAACTGCCTCAAAATGGCCGCCAAAATTACGCCTTTTCTGGTAAATTTCAAAACACGCGGTGGTGTGGTGTGGTGTGGTGTGGTGGTGGTGTTTTTCGCAGCTGTTCAGTTTAGTTTGAGTTTATAATTTGGTAAATCGCGTTTATTTTGATTGCCCATCGACTGTATTTAGTTATTACTGACGTGTTTATTGTTTATTGTTTATTGTGTTTATTTTTATTTGCGTTTGTTGTGCGTGATGCAAGATGCGGCCATCTTGCCATCACGCGGCCGTGCTATCAACTTGTTTACACTGCACGGTTGCATTATACTGGTAGCATGTAACTGCGACGTCTTGCAACGTGTGTTGTGATAATATTTCGTTTAAATGCGGTATATCTGTGTCGTTGTGTTTGGTACTTTGTCCTGGGAACATGAACAATGTTCTGCGTGGAAGCGGGGAAAGAACGGTTTAAAAGAACGTTTAATTCACCTATTTGTGCAAGCAAGGTCATTGCTTACGCACGGTTAGAACGTTATCTTATTATTTTGTTATTGTTGTGAACTTTTTAGTTATCCAATCGTGTCTGGTATTACTGTAGTAAAAGTGATTTAATTAGTTTTAGTACTGAATGTTGTGTGTGTGCGCCGTAGTACTCGTTACGCTAGGAATTGTAGTTTTTAGTATAACACGCGAACGCGACTTTACAAATAGTTCGAAATAATTTTCCTAGATGGGGAATTTAATTCTGTATCTCCCAGTGTAGAAATTAATTGTGAGAAAATTCCGTAACGCGAGTTATATCGAAAGTTGTGGTGTGCGCCGTAGTACTCGTTGCGCTAGGGATTGTAGTTTTTTAGTATAACACCCGAACGCGGTGTTACAATTAGTTTGAAATAATTTTTCTAGATGGGGAATTTAATTCTGTATTTTCCTGTATCGAAATTTATTGCGAAAAAATCCGGAACGCGAGTTATAATGAAAGTTGTGTGTGTGCGCTGTTGTACTCGTTGCGCTAGAAATTGTTGTTTTTAGTATAACACACGAACGCGGGGCTACAAATAGTTAGAAATAATTTTTCTAGATGGGAATCTAATTCTGTATCTCCCTGTGTAGAAATAAATTGTGAGAAAATTCCGTAACGCGAGTTATATTGAAAGTTGTGTGTGTGCGCCGTAGTACTCGTTGCGCTAAGAATTGTAGTTTTTTAGTGTACCACGCGAACACGGGGTTACACATAGTTCGAAATAATTTTTCTAGATGGGGAATTTATTTCTGTATCTCCCTATATAGAAATTAATTGTGAGAAAATTTCGTAACGCGAGTTATATTGAAAGTTGTGTGCGCCGTAATACTCGTTGCGCTAGGGATTGTAGTTTATTTAGTATAACACGCAAACGCGATGTTACAATTTGTTTGAAATAATTTTCCTAGATGGAGAATTTAATTCTGTATCTTCCTGAATCGAAATTTATTGCGAAAAAATCCGTAATGCAAGTTATAAAGAAAGTTGTGTGTGAGTGCGGTGTTGTACTCGTTGCGATAGAAATTGTTGTTTTTGTAGTATATCACACGAACGCGTTGTTACATTTATTTCTAAATAATTTTGCTAAATGGAGAATTTAATTTTGTATCTCCTTGTATTGAAATTTATTGCGACAAAATTCCGTTACGCGAGTTATATTAAAAGTTGTGTGTGTGCGCCGTAGTACTCGTTGGGCTAGAAATTGTAGTTTTTAGTGTACCACGCGAACACGGGGTTACACATAGTTCGAAATAATTTTTCTGTATGGAGAATTTATTTTTGTATCTCCCAATATAGAAATTAATTGTGAGAAAATTTCGTAACGCGAGTTATATTGAAAGTTGTGTGTGTGTGCGCCGTAATACTCGTTGCGCTAGGGATTGTAGTTTTTAGTATAACACGCAAACGCGGGCTTACACATAGTTCGAAATAATTTTCCTAGATGGGAATTTAATTCTGTATCTCCTGTGTAGAAATTAATAGTGAGAAAATTCCGTAACGCGAGTTATATTGAAAGTTGTGTGTGTGCGCCGTAGTACTTGATGCGCTAGAAATTGTAGTTTTTTAGTATTACACGCGAACGCGGGCTTACACATAGTTCGAAATAATTTTCCTTGATGGGAATTTAATTCTGTATTTTCCTGTGCAGACTTTCGTTATTTTCTTTTCTGAAATTGCTGTCCCCGTTTAATTTACCTATTTGTGCAAGCAAGATCTTTGCTTACGCACGTTAGCTTAGAACGTTATTTTATTTTGTTATTGTTGTGAACTTTTTGGTTGTCTAACCGTGTCTGGTATTACTGCAGTTAAGTGTGATTTAATTTTAGTTCTTGGTGAATTCGGCGCCAAATATATACCTAAAGATCATCTTATATGGCTACCAGTATCATCTTCTGGCGTCCGTATTGTCCATGTTCCAGCGACTTTCATGCACAGCGAGAAAGAAAGGTAAAGTGCACATTTTCATTATTTTTGTTTACTAGAATTTCATTTAATTTATACGCGGCAGTTAACTTAGCAATACAAGTATTTTTGTTACCGTATCAAATTTAATTTTAGAAATACTGCGGTGGAGAATGCACTCGAGAATCGCCTACCACGGCATCAACTAAGGTACACCTTCCAGCCTGGAGAGCAGCTGCGTTTTGACGGCATGCGATACCTCTATAATTTATCGCTTATCTTGAAAACACTTCTTGCGCACACACATTATTTTTAAAGCAGAACAAATAATGCGCACAGGGAATGACACAAAAGAACTTCCTGACATTTACATCATAAATGCATTCTTTTAATTCACATTTAATTAGAATTGTATATATTTAAGGACTTTTGATGATTGATTTGATGAATGCTTGTGGAATAACATGCAGTGTAAACTCTTTCTAACGATAATCACTAAGATTAGTTGGTTTAAGGACGGATCTTATTCGCCCATCATTTGCCACAAACCAACCTTCTTGTACATATTTTAGCGTCATAAAACGGTTATCAAGAGTTTACATTGTATTGCACATACGCCTCACGAGTTTTTCTGTATTGTATTATTGCTTCTTGTGCGAATGGGACGACTTTGAGTTTTATTTGTTGTAGTAATCCGGATAAGGGTATTTGGCAGTTGCAGCACTGTTGTCTAGCTTTAACTCGCGAAAGGGACGTCTCTAGAGGTGTTAAATTAAATTTTCCGTGAGGTTGTATTAATTTGTTGCGGGAATGCCGCATTGGTAAATTCGAAAATTGGGGTGTTAAGTGGGATTTTCCCATGCACAGTGAAATTATTAGAGTCAAATTAAAGTCTCCGTTGGGTTGTATTTGTTTTATGTAGGAATTCGACTTGCACCAATCACAAAAGTGATTTTTCACCCTTTCTCGGTAAGTGTTTGAATTTTTCCGGGTTTGCGCGCGACCTTGGCGGCTCAGTAACATCAGCGCGGCGTTAGGGATGCGCAATTAAATTCTCCGTCGGGTTGTATTTGTTTGATGCAGAAACCTGCAACTCGCAATAAATTGCATAAAAGGGTGATGATTTCACCCTTTCTCTTGAAATATTTCCATTTTTGGGTTTGCTCGCTACCTTGGCGGCTCAGTAACTTCAGCGCGGCGTTAGGGATGCGGAATTAAATTCTCCATCGGGTAGTATTGCAAGTTTATATTATGATACCAAAAGCCAATACTAGAATTATCTAGCTGGTGTCCCCAACTAGATATTTACGTCGGCTGACAATTTTCTTTTCTGTTTAGTCGGTCCTGCGCGGGGGTGTCGTGAACACGTGTTTTGTTTGTGCGTCTATCTGCATAGTTATTAATCGGGTTTCTTGAGATGTTAATGTAATAGTGGCATGTGTTTTTAAATAATTCAATCGTGGAAATATACCACGATTGTTTCCCATATGGAATGAAGTCCGTAAAATGTTTTCCGTACCAGTTTGTGATGATTAAACATTCAAGTAAGTGTAACTTAAGTAACTTTTGTAAGTTACGTTGAATACATGTACTTAAATTTCACGTAACAGAATTAAATTTGTGTATGTACTGTCTTGATTATATGAGTTTGAATAAAATATAATTAAATAGTGTTAAGAAATAACTCCGCATGTGGTCTCTAATTCAAAGTCTCTTATTTATTTCACTAATTATACAATCTCTATGTCTCACGATCTCGACTTCTCCCCTTTTACACGGTCGTCTCTCTGCCGCATTCTCTCGTCGACTCCCTCTGGTCTGTCGTCTCTCGCACCGCTTCAGTATCCTTCCCCTTCACTCGCAGCGCTTGCGCGCAGTTCAGCCAACTACGCCACAAGGCCGTACTTAACAATAGTATATTTTGAAGCAGTTATTTCTCTGTGTTCCTATGGTCGTTTCAGAATTAGATTTAAAGATCATATTTGATTACTCGTGTTTGAAATGCGTATAAGTGATATTTATATAAATGTTGTTGTTTTTAAAAGGGGAGATAAAGAAC